TATCTTACACCTCCATCCGATAATCATAGTGCCATTGGTACCAAAACCGCATAATGACGTCAAAAACTGTTTTTCTAGCTTAGTGCTTAATTCCATTTCCGGATTTCCCTGGTTTACTCTAGTGCTTATACATTCTAGTGGAACCTTATTTTGGTGGTATATGGATTTGGTTATGACTTGTAATTGAACCCATTGATCGGCTATTGTGATAAATTTATATTGCGTATGCCTTTGGGGTTGATTGAGGAAAATAATGAAGCCATGATGGCTGGAAAAGTAAGCAAATTTAGGGGAAATGCTGTCCAAATTTCTAGGCCGTTTATCCTGTTTAGGTTTGAGTTGTCTTTTGAAAGAAATGAAGGGCTTTTGGGTCATTCAAACCCTAGGTCCTCTTGTTACTTTTGTTTCCAAAAACATCATGTTTTGCACCCTTGCATTAGTAATTATTTGGCGAGGCATACGACTAGTAGTCGAGCCTCACTTGTGCATTCTGTTTACTCGATTTTGGATGTGAAACCTTCAATTGTTTTACTTTGGTTCGTTTAGAGTTTCTTGGCGATTAAAGCCAGTTTGAAGTGAAACCTTTTGGAAGTATCCGTACTTGAACCGGTGAGTGTACCACTTCCCTCCATTGCTGTTTAACTTGATTTCTACTCTGCAATCTGTGATTTAAATGACTGCACTACCTGTTTAAATTGTTTGAGACGAGGGTGTACTTTATCACACTCGTTCTCTTATCTGTTCATATGCCAATTTTGGTGCGAATCTGAATCTGTATCTGTATCTGATATCTGTATCTGTATCTGTTCGGATGTCATTTGGAAACTTGTATCCAACGACCTTTTTGTGACCTCTGAGCTCAACCCCTGTGGCAAGTTACTCGAGTCGAGCCGGCAAGGGCCTGGTCGATTAGATAACGAACCACGGTAGTCTGTTTTGGGATCTTTGGGTATTGAGACCCTTGATTCTGGGTATACTCGAGTATTACCGCTTCTGTTCTGTTCGATGTTCGGGCCCGGTAGGGGTATGTGAGGTGGAAGGAGTCGGAGAAAGTGGAGTCTACGGTATTGGTTACTTCTTTAACGTTGACGGAGTGTCAACTATTATTTCGATCAAGTTTCGGTGAAGCAAATGGGAATTTAGCTCCTGAGAGCCACCCGTATCCTTTCTGTCTATGGTGTTTGTTCTTTTTGTTCACTTCTTTATTTGATTCGCATATGTGATTAATTGACTGTGAAGTTTCATGTTTCTTACTTGCTTTTGGTACCTCATTGAGCGTAAGCTCACCCCCTTCCCGTTATCTTTGTTTTCCTTACAGGGAACCACTTTTGGGGCTAAGATGTTTTGAAGCACGAGTCGAGCTAGTTTTAATATCTTTTGTAAAGCTTCTCGATAGTTGGAAAACCCTAAATGTATTTTAATCCAATATTTTTTTTTGGTTGGTAAACTTATTAATATGTACATATTAAAGTGTTTCCTCATGTTTATGTGAAACTTGTATTTCGGAATGTACATTCTCTCATGTCATAATGGGTGCTTGTACCTGGTTGGATGATGACGTGGCAGCGGCCCGTCCAATTCGATTTGATTCTTGTAGTTTTATTCCGATTTTGTTTGAGTGAACGACTGAGTCCTGGCGACAGCTGGACAGGCAGTCCGCTAACCTCTTTGGTTCGCCTTAGGAAAAAGTGGGGCTGTCACAATATTGTTCTTGAGTGAGACAAAAAATCAGGAAAAATTTATGAAACAGGTACAAAAAAGGGTTAAGTTTGAGAATAGTTTTGTAGTGAGCTCTAAGGGTAGTGTAGGGGGTTTAGCATTGTTTTGGAAGGAGGAAGTGATACTGCTGGATGTACAAGATACTGATTGGTACATTGAAGCAAGGGTGGTAGACAAGGATACTGATAAACACTGGTGGCTGATAGAAATTTATGCAAATACGGAGGACAGTGTAATGGAAGACTATAGAGGAGAAAAAAAGTGAATGGGGTGAGAAATGGGTGTTAGTTGGAGACTTCAATGATATCTGTTCTAATGGGGAGAAATGGGGAGGGAGAGAGAGGTCAGAGGGTAGTTTTAGGGATTTTAATAGCTTTATTTCTAGAAATGAGCTGGTGGATATAGGGTATGAGGGGGTACCTTGGACCTGGAATAATTCATGGGAGGGGGAGGGTGAGATAAAAGAGAGCTTAGATAGATGTTTAGGTAGTGTTGGGTGGGTGCAGATGCATGAGAAAGCAACCTATGAACATATTGAAAAGGAGGCATCTGACCACGGTCTACTAATTTTGAACACAAACCCGCAACAAAGGAGAGTGAAAAGAAGATTCTACTTTAACCAACGATGGGCAAAAGACAAGGCATTTGATGCTGTAATTCAAAGAGCTTGGGGGATGGAACAACATGGCTCCAGAATGTTTAAAGTGGTAAGAAGAATAAAGGAGTGCAGAATCGCATTGATTGAATGGCATAGGACAATCAAAGGCAATACAAAGGCAAAGATCCAGGAGCTAAAGAAGCAATTGAAAGTAACACGGGAGGAAGGTGAGATGTGCAATAAAGGATCTATTGTAAACTTGAAGCTATAGTTAAGCAAAGCGTATAAGGATGAGGAGCTATACTAGAGCCAGAAATCAAGAAGTAGGTGGCTCAAAGAGGGGGACAAAAATACAGCCTACTTTCACCTAAGTGTCATGGCAAAAAGGAAGCGGAACAGGATAAGCATGCTTCAGAAGACAAATGGAGAGTGGTGTAGGAATGAACAGGAAATTGAAGATGAATTAAGCAAGCACTATACGGAGCTTTTCACCTCTAATGATCCTAAAGAATTTGATGATGTGCTGCAATGTATACCTCGCACTATTTCCAATCTCATGAATGCGCAGTTAATTAAACCAGTGGATGAGATGGAGATCAAACAAGCAATTTTCTCAATGTTTCCTAACAAAGCTCCGGGAGTTGATGGTATGTCCCCGTTATTTTTCCAAACATATTGGAATATCATTAAAGTTGACATTGTTAATGCCATTACCAGCTTCTTCCATACTAGTAACCTTCTCAAAACTATTAACGAGACCATCATCTCCCTAATCCCAAAGGTTGATAATCCTATGATGCTGACCAATTTCAGACCTATTAGCTTATGTACAGTGTTGTATAAAACCATCTTTAAGATTCTGGCTAATAGACTGAAAAAAGTTCTTAAGCACTACATTAGTCCCTCTCAATCTGCTTTTGTTCCAGGAAGACAAATTCTAGACAATGTCATCATTGCACACGAAATTTTGCATTTCCTGAAAAGTAAGAGAACTGGTAAAATAGGCTTCATGAACCTTAAGTTTGATATGTCTAAAGCATATGATAGAGTGGAGTGGAAATTTCTAGAAAGAATTATAATGCTCATGGGTTTTTGTCCTACCTTTGTTCACTGGATCATGGCTTGCATTTCCATAGTTTCTTATTCTTTTAATTTGAATGGACAAAAGGTGGGTTTTATTAAGCCTTCCAGAGGAATTCGACAAGGAGATCCTCTATCTCCCTACTTGTTCATTTTGTGTACTGAAGGGCTTTCTAACTTACTCAAGAAAGCTGTGGAAAGAAAGCAGTTAACTGGTATCAAAATCTACAAAGACAGCCCCATGGTCTCTCATTTATTTTTTGCAGATGACTCGCTCTTGTGTTGCAAATCAAGTAAACAGGAAGCTCTGAAGATAAAGGAGATCATTCAGCAATATCGCCAAGCCACTGGATAGGTAGTTAATTTTGATAAATCAACCATGTTTTTTACTAGAAATACTCCCATCCTGATTCGAAGGGAGATAAGTGAGGTGTTGGACAACATGAGGGAGGCTCAGAGTGAAAAATATCTAGGCCTACCTATGACCATAGGGAGAGCTAAGAACCATGTTTTGTGGGTATCTGAAAAATAAAATTCATAGCAAGTTACAAGGTTGGAAACAAAAGATGCTTAGTCAAGGGGGTAAAGAGGTTCTGATAAAATCAGTTATCATGGCCATGCCTACTTACATCATGTCATGCTTTAAACTTCCTAAAGGTATGTGTTAGGAGATTAGTGCTAGAATTGCTAGATTCTGGTGGGGGGTGGGGAAACTGAAAGCAAAGTGCATTGGGTTAGGTGGAGTAAGCTTTCAGAAGTAAAAGGGAAAGGGGTTTGGGCTTTAGAGACTTGGAAGCTTTCAACTTAGCTTTGCTTGCAAAACAAATTTGGAGAATTATTACCAATCCAAATTTGTTAGTAAGTAAAGTTCTGAAAGCTAAGTACATGAAAGGGGAATACTAGTTAGGACAACAGCCTCCTAACATTGCATCTTGGTGCTGGAAAAGCATTCACAAGGGACAAGAACTACTTCAATAGGGGTTATGAAAGAGAGTGGGAGATGGAAAGACAGTGAAGATTTGGCAAAACAGGTGGATACCTGGTTCGGTCAATGGAAGAGCATCAACTGAAAGACCAGCAGGTTGCCAGCTTGAGTACGTCCATGAATTAATAGAGAGAGGAAAGTGGAAGACAGATTACTTGTAGAATTGGTTTAATGCAGAAGATGTGGAACACATAACTAGGATTCCCCGTTAGTCTATATGGAAGGAAAGACAGACTGTTTTGGAAACATAGTAAGTCTGGAGTGTATACAGTGAAGACAGGATGTGTTATTGCAAAGGGGGAAGGAGACAACATGAATCAAAGGTTAGCATCTAGCTCAGAAACTAGCAGGGAAATTAGGAAACATACGGTGTGGAAAAGACTGTGGAGCTTAAACATTAAGATGAAACTGAAATAGTTCTTATGGAGGTGCCTACAAAATGGATTTTTTGCTAATGAAGCTCTCTATAAGAGAATTGGAAAGGGAAGCAATCTATGCAACTATTGTGGGGAGGATACTGAAACCATTGAGCACATTTTCTTTTTTTGTCCAAAAGCTCAAGTGCTAAGGAAGTTAGCTCCAGTGAGGTGGGAGGGGATAGTTGAGCTGCAATGTAACATGTGGAGATGGTGGGATGCTATGATGCAATCAGCCAGGGAGGTGCAAGGAATAGACAGAATCAAGCTCATGGTGAATATATTGTGGCAAATCTGGAAAGCTAGAAACAAGATAACATTCCAGACTGAGAATGTGGATGCAAAACTGATTGTACACAAAGCGCAGCAGGAATGGTTGGAGTATGAAGCTGCGAATGAAACTGACACTCGAACAAATACATCATCAGAAGTGGAAGGACAGATACAGCAGAAATGGGAGCCACTTAAGGAAGGAGTAATGACGATCAACACAGATGCAGCAATCTCTGCTAAAATGGTAAGGACAGGCTTGGGGATTATTGCTAGGAACTGGCATGGAGAGATAGTGAAAGCTAAAGGAATCATTGCGAGGAAGAGAGGGGATGCAACCACAGAGGAAATGTTAGCAATAAGAGGTGTGCTGGAAATGGCTAAAGTTGCAAGATGGACAAGCATACAATCTGACTGCAAAACTGTTGTGAGCCTTATCAACACAGGCAATGTGCAGGAATGTAGACTACAAACAATCCTGGAAGACATTGAAGACCTAAAGAAGAGCTTTGACTGCTATTTGTTTTCTTTTGTTCCTAGAACTGCTAATGGTTGTAGCCATGCTATGGCTCAATTTGCAGTCAAGTCGGTTGGGACTATTGAATGGGAAGGTTCATTCCCAACATGGCTATCAAAATTAGCTAGAAAAGATATGGGAGTAGTTACCCCTTTTTGTAATTAGGACTTGTGTTATCAAGTGTTAATATCTATAAAAATGTTATCGTTTGTTAAAACAAAAAGACTAACCTCCTAGTAGGGCCTAAATGCTAAGCTGATTACTCAGTTTATCCGTTTAGATATGAAAATTTGAGTTATGGCGGAATAAAGCCAATGCACGAACAAAGTTTATAGCAAGAGTTTTATGACACTCGCGAAAAGAAAGTTATTTTTTTTCTTATTGATGTAAGTCTGCCCCTGCTACTTAGCATGGGATTGCAAATTCTTTTGGATTTCAAGCTGCGGTTCAAAATGAACTTTGACGGTGCGGTCTTCATAGATTTACAGGCTACAGGTGTTGGAGTTGTTGCACGAGATAATGAAGAAAGATTCTAATGTGGTATGTCCAGATTGATTTATTAGCATTATTCATCCTGAAATTGCTGAAGCTCAAGCTTTAAATGAAGCATTGGACATGGCTTGTATAAGAAGATATCTGTCAGCTACCTTTGAAGGGGATGCATTTAATGTTATTGAAGCTGCTAAAAATTATGCAGAGAATTAATCCTCAGTGATTGGTTCTATCACAGAGGATGCTTAACACGAATCACTCTCTGAATAACATTTATAACATGAGTTCAGGATGGGTGCATGTGGTTACATGTGGTATTAATGGAATACCTGTGGCAGCATAATGCTCCAAATTCTCTTCAAAGTAGTTTTAAGGCAGAATTTTCAAGTACTTTTCAATAAAATTTTTCATCAAAGGAAAAGAAAAAGTCAATTTTTCATCAAAGAATAAAAAAATAAAAGCTCGCTTTAATGAATGTCAAGAGTGCCACATGACAAAAAAAATGTGTTACAGTAATTACCCTTCTCTTTTTGTACACTAAGAGTGCCATGTGGAAAAGTAAATACGTTACCATAATTATCCCTCTCTTTTTATATAATAGGTAGACATGGCCCTCTCTTTTATATAAGATAGATATGACCTTGAAATCAACTTTTAATTTTGTTGTAGAGTCCTAGACAACTAGGTTATAATTCGAACCTTAAATTTATGATACATGTTAAGATTCACGACAATCAATTTTTTTTTTTTTTTAGGTGTGGGGATTAACAGTTCAGTTCATTTTGTTTAATTTTCTTGTTCCTTCCATGCACTTAACTTTGATATTTATTCCATATTGTTTTTCACATGATTGCACTGATTGACTTTTATTGCAACTAAGAAAATATTTTAATTGTGGATTATGAGGATATTACTGACAAAAAAAATCATCAAGAAACCTATATTCTTTCACTTTCTGTCAACTTTCCCTGCATTCCAAAAACTACCTTAATCATCAGGATTTCATTTGCCCAAGGAAGAAACAACTTCTCGGTCTATATTTCTTCGATTTAGGCAGCATTTTTTTTAATCTTTTTTTTAAGGCAACTTATTGCTGCTTTGTTTCCGTCCGTGCATGTAATCCAAGAAAAGCTGCAAAAAAATTACACGAATGGGAAATGTATCAACATTCATCAAACCAGCTAGTAAAAAAATTGTAAGAAGACAAATCAAAATCAAATAAGGGAAAACGATTCTGGTGAAGTATGCCTGAAAACATAGTAGACAACATAGTACTTTATTCTCCGTACAAATTATCCTTGTCTATGAGGTTGATAACTAACCGACTACAGGCTACATAAGTTAGTGATGTGAAGATGGCAAAGGGGTGCTCGAAAGAAAATGGGAGAAGAGAGAAAGGGATTGGTCAGGTGCGAACATCGGGACTTGGTGACCCGCTCCTCTCACAGTCAGGAAAGTGAGACCACCCTCCACATAGGTCTCCACCCACCCTGCCACTTGCTGCTTGTGGTACCAGGCTCTCCATTCTTCTTTTACCTTCAATCCCATCTCATTGATGCTGTACCTTGTTGATGTTACTGGCACTCTTCCATCTGTATCGCCACTGGATTTCAAGTATTGTCAGGGCTAAAACTTAGTATTCATGAATCACAAATTGTGAGTACAAACTAAAATTATTGCACTATCAGCAAAGATCTTGACTCCGTTATTGATTCTATTCATACCATTATTAACATGTTTGATGAATCTCGTAGGATCATGAGACCTAAATATTGGACACAGAGTCGCATGTTTTGCGTTTAAATGCAGGTTTTGAAATGACATTTAGATACTTATATGGAATGAAATTAGGGAGAAGGAAACGAAAGATTCAAGATTTCGTACCTAAAATTGTTGATAAATAATTACTATTATCAACTTAGAGTTCTACAGAAGCTACAATATTTACGTATCGTGATACTTCTAACTGGCTAGGGAGTACAACAATCCACATCCCAGTGCTAACTCACAAAGGTAAGACTGATAACAAAGGGATTGGGGCAGGCTAGGGTTTTATTTCTTTTAAGATATGAAGAAAAAAGAAAAAAAAAGATATGACAAACATCCAAATAATATTGTTTTCATACATTGAAAATTATTACGTAAAACAACATTATATACGTGTACTAAATCATGTACGAAACATAAGAATTCTACAACTAAAAAAAAACTCCGGTAGTACCTGTCTCAAGTCCATATAAACATGAAGTTCAGGTACTAGAATGGACATGGTTGATTGTTTAATGACTAATCAGAAATAAGTTAATATTATGTTATGGATAATTTATTTGTCAAGCAGAGGTCGACTCAATACTTGAAGCAGACTAAGGAAATTGGGAGTGATCAACAATGATTGTTGCGTAATTTGCTGCTGCAAAATAAACACTTGTGACCTCTTTGCTTGCCCTGTGACGTTTAAGATGTAGAGACAAATTCAAATTCTGAATCTTGTCTGTATATAGAGGTCCATGCCCCTTGTCCACTGAGATGTATTGGCAATGCTTACACACAATCTTTCAAAAGTCAACTGATAAGACTGTCATTTGCTGCCACTGTGTAACTATGTGTGGTGGGCAAGAAATCAGAAAGTATTCAGCCTATGACGGACGAATACATAAGAAGCCTCTAAAATTCATGTGATTTAGTTTGCGCTTTTATCATGATTCAGCCTGTGATGGATGAGTTGAGTTTGAAAACATATGTTGTAATATCCCCAAACATATAATGGTCCAAATATTTTAAGACCTAAAGCTATGTGGTTAGACTGAAACTAACCAATATATATTGGAAAGCAAAACTGCAATTATATGTTCTTGGATTTGGTTCATCTTTTCAATTTGGCAAATAGGTAGGTTAGGGTGGAAAAAGAGTTGAGAGTAAGGTAACACACCTGAACACCCAAACACGCAATCCAGTATTTAAAAGCTTCCTAATGATGGGTAATACAGTGTCCGGAGCGTCATTCCACTTTCGAATTATATTGCTGTCATCACAAACACAAAAGACAACAGATGAAACTCCTCTCACAAGCCCCAAAAAGGAACAAAAAGCTTATAAAGGGAAAGGGCAAGATGCAATTTCCGGAATCCTTAAATTTGAAACTTTGTCATTATATGGGGACCGCCGACATATTTGGTCATTGTCGAATTATGAGAAAGAAAATCATATTTTAAACCATATATGATTTATACGACAGATGCCAATTAAATGATGAACACTTTCTTCATTTTGATTTTAGGAATTCTCATGTTTATATATATCGTTAGATATATCGTGATTTTTAGTTACTTTTTGCAATTAAACTCTTATAAAAAACCTCAATTAATTATTAGTATAGCATCCTATAAGTACTATATAAATCCATGAAACTTTAAAAAGAAAAAGAAAAGTTAAATGCTTGGTTCCTTAGCATTTAACGTCTCGAATTTCATCTTGAGCAATGACCATGGACTGTGAGTGTAGTTCAGCTTGACTAATCAATTGGTTCTTATGACCAAAATAGACTTATCATACAAGCCATACCTTTCATACACCAAAAAATAGATTAATCTTGTGCATACTTATAATATAGTACACTAGCATTCTTGGATACATGTCACTTAATCTGAACTTGAATTTGAACTTCATGTTTTGCATATGTGGCACTCTCAACATATATAACAAATAAAACAAATCATAAAATGTAGAAAAGTCTCTAGTGGTTAAACCAATTTATGGAAAAAGCCCCATATGATAGCAAATCATACATTCCAACCCTCATGGTTTGAACTAATATAAAATAGCGAAGGAAATCATTAAAAGTAATGGGAGCAAACGAAATAATGCAATTATCCTAATATATATATCTATATATATATATAAACAATAAAATGCCCTCTAACAACCATCCTGATTAAGCAAACTTATGAAAAAATCCCCTATAATTAAGTCAACATGTAGAAAAGCCCCCCTACGGTTGCTAATTGCCACAATCACTCTTAACCTTCCGCTGCCTATGAGGACCCGTAATTTTTCTAATTTTATATATTATTTATTTTATTTCCTTGCCTGTATTTTTATTCATTATACCCTACTATTTCGATTTTCCCAAAGATTTTATAAGTGAATAGAGTTTTTAAATTATTTTCCTAGTTTAAGTTAGTTCATGAGAAATTAGGTGTATATGGACGTGGGACCCGCTAGTGCGTTAAGTGAGAGAAATTCGGCCAATTAGATTAAGTTTTGCATAAAGGGATTTAAATACTAGGTGTTAGGAGATAATTAGAGGTTACCTAGATGGATTAACCATGGGGAGACAAGAAAATAACTTTAAGCAACAACAAAGTGCCAAGTGTCACTACCTAGTCAAAGTTGGACTTGCCTAACTTTCTTAACTTTACTAAAAGATCAATTTTGACCCAAATCATCTTCATTTTGTACCCTTCTTGGCCAAACCTCTCCTTGAGAGAAAAGAAAAGAAAGCTTCAACTACTTCTTCCATTTCTTGCACAAATCTTGAAATCCAACCGATTAAACTTTGAATTTGTCCACAAAAGTGACTTGCTAAAGGAGTTTAAAGGTCTTGGTGGAGTTGTTTTGGAAGAAAGAAACATAAACTACTACCTTTCTTGAGGTATCAAGGTATGATGTGTAGAAATTCATAGTTTGTTCTTAATAATGGTTTATTAGTGGCTTTTGTGGCTAAATATGTTGATTTGTAGTAGGTTTGATAGGTGGAAGTGGAGTTTTGATGGATTTTTTATTTGTTATTGATTTTTCTATTTTTATATAGTAATTATTGTTTAGTCATGGATTGATGGTTTGTTATAGTGTAAAATGGAGTTTGTATATGTTGGATATGATCGGTTGCAGAAAATTTCTGGTTTGGTGCGGAAAATTCCAGATTAGGGTTTCAACTTATCCTATTTTCCCCGGTTCTGTTCAGCCATGATGGAGGCTGAATCAGCCTTAGGTTAAACATGAAAGTTGTAGGAAATGATGTTTTATAACTTCCTGTAAAATTTCAGCCCAATCTGAGTACTGTATCATGTGAAAAGGCAAAAATACCCCTGACTGCCATAGGTAGAGTTCGGTGGACGGTGTTGACATTTCACCAATCTGACTGCGTCTGTTCACCCTGATCTGTACTGAATTAGCATTTGGCCAAAACACAAAAGTTGTGGTGCTATGTTTTAGCTTTCCAACGGCCCTGAAAACGGCTTAATCGGACTTCGGTAGTCTGAGTTATTGTCGTTTAAGTCTAGTGTGGTTAACTAGCCTGATTGTGAGACTTTGGTTCTATAATTTGAAATTTTGATCTGGTTACCCGACAAAATGGACTGAGTGGTCTACATCAAAGTTGTAGACCTTTATCTTAGGTTCGAAACGGTATAAATTGCACACCAATTCGATAAGCGTAGCTTCGGTTGTGTACGATACGCTAAGCGAAGTCAAATCTGTCTTTTGTTTTATGACTTAAACTTCATTTCCGGACATTTTCCTAGCTTGATTTTGTACTTGTACGACATTGAGCCTATTGAACGGCTATTGAAATGAGATTATTTTTGCGTGTGATATTGGGGCTGATTAGAGGAAAAATGAAGCTATGATGGCTGAAAAAGTAAGGAAATTTAGGGGAAATGCTGTCCAATTTTCTAGGCCGTCTGATACCTTTAAGGTGGAGTTGCATTGTGGTAGAATGAGGGGGTTTGGGGTTGTTTGTAACCCTCGTACCAATTATTATCCGTTTTCTCAAACATTTCATGTTTATACTTTTGTACTAGTATATAACTTGGAGAGGGCTCCGACTAGTAATCGAGCCTCACTTGTGCATCTCGTTTACTCGGTTTTGAATGTCGAAACTTCAACTACTTTACCTTTGTTATTCTTAGGGTTTCATGGTGATTAAGGCCACTTTGGGTGAAAATTTTGAAGTACCTATACTTGAACTGGTGAGTGTACCACTCCCCTCATTGTTGCTTAACTTGGTTTCTGTACATGCAATCTGTGACATGAATGACTATATTATCTGTTTATACTGTTTGAGATGAGGGTGTACTTCATCACACTCATTCCTTTGTCTGTCTGTATGCTTATTTACTGTGCAAATTTGAATCTGCTATATGTATTTGTATCTGTTCTGACGTCGTTTGGAAGCTTGTATCTAATGACCTTTCTGTGACTTCTGAGCTCAAATCCTGTGGCTAAGTTACTCGAGTCGAGTCTGCAAGGGTCTGATCGATTAGATAACGAACCACGGTAGTCTGTTCTAGCAATCTTTGGGTATTGAGACCCTTGATTTTGGTATACTCGAGTATTACCACTTTTGTTTCTGTTGAGGTGTTGGCCCGGTAAGGGGTATGTTTGGTGAACGGGATTTGGTGTAAAGTGGTGTTCTACAGAACTGAACTGGTTACTTTATTTGGAAAGTTGACGGAGTGTCAACTACTATTTGATCAAGCTTCGGTGAAGCAAATGTGAAGTTGGCTCCTGAGAGCCACCCGTATCCTTTCTATCTATGATGTTTGTTCATTTCTTTATTTGATTTGCATATGTGAATAATTGAATATGAAGTTTCATGATTCTTACTTGCTATTATTTTGGTACCTCATTAAGCGTAAGCTCACCCCCTTTTTCCACTATCTTTGTTTTTCTTTCAAGGGACAAACTTTGAACTCACTTTGAACTCATGGTTTTGGAAGAAAGGGTCAAGCTAGTGTATATGTTATTTTGTTAAGCCCTTTTGCGATCGAAACCCTAATTATATTTTGAACAGTATGGATACTTTGGCTTGTACTTTAGTTAATTTGTTCAAGACTCCGATGTAAATGAATAGTTAACCTTGGTTGTTCAGTGTATTCATTTGAGATGTTGCTCTCCTATGGATTTGGTAAGTTATCTTTGAACATGGTGGCCAGTAATTGATCGTTTTCTTAGGGTTCTATCGCGTGTACTATAGTGGGTTTGTAAGATTCGACTCCGCAGTCCTGGCGAGAGTTGGGCAGGTGGTCCGCCGAACCCTTTGGTTCGCCTTAGGGTGAGGTGGGGCTGTCACACTACCACCCTCCCCTCCATCACCATCCTCCTCTATCTCCTTTCTCCTATCCCTTTCCCCTTTATCTTCCCCCCTCTCCTTCATTACCACCCCTTCCCTTCCAACTATGGCCCCTTTCCTATACCCTCTCTCTCCATGTGAGGGGCGATCTGGTCACAACCCCTTTCCCACACATCTTTCCGTATATCCCATGACCATATTTGGTAAAGGAGAGAGAGAGAGAGAAAGTGGTGCCAAGAAGGGGGTGCAAGGAATGAGAGGGAGGGGAGTATAGGGGTAGGGAGGGAGAAGAAAAGGAGAGAAGGAAGGCGAGAGAGATAGCGATGCAGGAAAAGGTGGTAGCAAAGGTGGAAAGTAATGGTGGCAAGAGATGGGGTAGTAATGGACGAAGAAATTGGATGGTATTTTATTTATTATTTTGTGTATAGAAATAAGGTGAGTTATATTTGGATGTTTTTATTTATTTATTTTGTGTGTAGAAATAATGTGAGTTATATTTGGGAGTTTTTGGAGTGTTTGTAAGATTTTTATTGAGTTCTAAGAGGTATAATAGTTATATCAGCTCAAAATCTGTTTGAAAAAATTATTTTTCAGCACAAATACTTGCAAAACAAGTGCTAACATCTCAAATCCATTAATTTTGATGATAACCGCTGCTATTTCACATTAGTTCAAACCACAAGATATTGGAGTGTATGATTTGAAACTAATTATTGTAAGACATTCACAACAAAAGAACATTGTTAAGCACTTGAGTAATCACATAATAGTTGCAAAATGATAGTTAATGAACTACAATTCTTATCACAAAAATATACAATTTATGTCAAAACTAATTATTGTAGCATGTATGAAATTTACATAAAATTCATGTATCCATAATCTTAGCGACACTTAATTAAGAACATAAAGGTGGTTAATCTTCTACATTTTGAATGTCAAGGGTTTCTGTTTAAAGATACAATTACTTTAATCACCTAGAAGGAATATCAATTTTCTATTTGATGCCAATTGAACAAAATGTTAAAAAATTTTGAAATTTGAAAGGTTTCAAGGTAATTGACTACGTGAATGTTAACAAATTTAACCCTTTCTGTTTTTAAATGCAAAAATATTGTACACCTAGCAGTTGTTACTTCTTCTTTTTCCCCTGAAAATGATCGATACCAATTTGGTCCTCTGAGTGGGCCAAAGTAAAAAGTAGTCAACCGCTCCAATTCAATCCTCAAGACCAATTCTTCTGAAATTATTTGATTATTTCAGCTCTACAAATGTTAGACTTAGTTCGTAATCAAATGAGGATGTGTATCTGTATGTTGTTACAACTTGTGTTAAAATCATATTATCGAGAAGAGATCCACATTTCTAAGAAATCAAAACTTTGTACCACTAAACAACTAGACAAAAATATATTCATGCACTTATTTCTTGAGATTCTTGAAACTGATATTCAATTTTAGTAGGAAGGGTGCCGTGATCCTTATATAGGTGCTTATTGTTTGCATATTCTCCTTAATATTGTGTGAGACAATGATAGAATGAATCGGTAACTTTAGTATGCAAACTATTCAAAATAAAAGCACAAAGTGTCCAAAATAAGCATGAAACATGCAGGGTCAGAATATTCCTCATTTCAATCAATCCGTTATGCTTTTGTTATATTTTCGAAAACATATTCTGTGAGTTTCTTGCAAGTTTGTTTAGTCGACTGTTGAATTCATGGAGAATTTTTTGTGGTTTAATGCCACGAGATAATTTAAAATATTCATTATCTAAAATTTTGAGCTAAACCATTATTAAACACGCACTAGATCTCAACTATCCTTTTCAGTGAAACCTAATCTTCAGAGACAACAAAGACAGTTCAAGGGTACCATTAAAATTTGTCACACATTCAACAAAAAGGAAGCTCCAGTTGGGATCTTTCTGAAAATTCCAAGTAAATGCTTGAGCTTGAATATTGTCCTCATAAATGCTTTTTTTACGAACCACTGACTTTTGCACAATTATATAATGATTTAGAAAGCCCTTTCTTAATTCGACATAAGAAGTGACCTATGCATGATTTCTATGAGCGAATCAATACTAGTCCACAAACCTGCATGGGGTATAGGGATAGGACAATTTGGTGAGATTTGCATGCAGGGCCTTCTGAACATCTTCTCTGTTGAGATACGCCTCCACGTAATCTTCGGTACACGGATCGTAGCCCGATGGCAATTTGTGCCAAAGATCCTGAAATCAGATAGATACATATAACCACATTTTGTTTGGTTTAATTTGTGTTCTTGTTTGAATAAAAGAGTATTGGAGGAAGGACTTGATATGAAAGATATCACCAATGGTTGCGAGTGGTAAAGAGCTGCTTTTTCGAATGTGAAAAATACTCAATTACCTTTTTAAACAGGATTAATTCCACAATACAACCATATAAACTTTTGAGTTATACTGAATTTCCACTCCCAAATTTTATTTTATATTAGTGTTACTCAGTGTTATCAACTACACCAGCATTGCATCTCAAACTTATGCTTCCGACTGCTTGGCACTTTAAAGGTACATTCCAAATTACCATAATCCAACACAGAGCAATGGACGTATATATAGGAACGGTATGCATGTCAACTGCAAAACTTTTCTTTTCAATGCTAAAAAATAGGTATTAGTCTTTCAAAATCTCAGAATAATGAGTCAAAGAATATATCTTTACCTATTTTAATAGAAATAAAGGTTGTTGACTGATTTTGAACATTGTATAAACTTTAGGGTGTAAATGTAAAGTGCTCAATACGAAAGTCCAAGGTGCAAAACTTGAATTGCTACAGCAATAGGGTGGAATCGAAGCAGTCCAAAGTTATTCTCAATGAATAAAACAAGATAAAACCCGACACCTATGGATACTCGACTCGATGGTTAATCCAATTAGATGATTAATGGGTAATCCATTAGGGTTTGTTTTGATGAGGAGTTACCAACAGATAACTCAAGAGAGTTTGATAAGAGAATCCTAAAAATCCGATACCCGATACATATACATATGCATATAGACATATACATATATGTAATTGTATAAGTGTGTGTGCATGTGTGTGTATATCGATGAATTAATACCTCTATAAAACTTGCTTATTCTCTTTAGTTTGTATTCAGTTGGCACACATGTTTATCTTGTAAAATGTTATTTGTCATGCTTTCTATACATTTCCTTGATGAAAAATGTGGGATAGTTGTTTGGATCTCCTATTGAAAGATTGCTAAATTTATCTTTCATAAAATGTTCAATTTCTCTGGCTATATCCAAATTTAAAATTCAATGCAGTGTGTTGATTTAACATGATGTGTATTGATTTTAGTTGGATAAAAGCTAATTCTCCTCTTTTTTTTTTTGAATTATTCAGATTAATAGACAGAGGGTACTTAATGGGTAAGTCGACCCTGAAACGACAGAGTTAGATAATAAGAGTTAAACCCACAAGATTACGCGATAGTAAAAGATTGAGATATACGGGTTAGGATTTAGTAAAAGAGATTTTTAAGGATACAAGATCTATTGCCATTCCTAAATATAGACGAAGCCTAACAATAATGGAACAGACTAACTGTGTGACTATTTAGACCCCACATCTCCCCTAAAGGTCCTTTTGTTTTAGGGGAAAAATTCACTTTTCATCCTTAAACTTTGAGTTAGGGATACATTTCATCCTCAAACTTTTAGACGCGCTACATTGAGTACATAAATTAATTATTTTTTGCCACATTTAGTCCAAAAATGGTAAATTGTTTAATTGGATGGAGAAAATCACGTGTTTGACACATGCCTGTTAAGTAAAATCAATTTCTCCGTTAAAATTAACGGCCACGTCAATTTTCTCCATTCAAATTGAATATTTTATCATTTTTGGACGAAATGTAACCCAAAATAATTAATTCATGGACTAAATGTAGTGTGTCTAAAAGTTTGGAGAAAAAATGTCTCTAACTCAAAGTTCAAGGACGAAAAGCGGATTTTTCCCTTTGTTCTAGACCATGAATTTTCGCAGGGAGATAATGCCAAAAAAAAAGAAACAATAGGAGGCTTAAGAGTAGGGGTGGGCGCGGGTCAGGTATCCGTTCCATTCACTTTTTGACTGACCCCATCCGCATCTTGCGGGTCAGTCATTTTCTGACTCTTACCCGCCCCGCATATCAGCGGATACCTTATAATCGAGTACCCGTTGAGATAGGGTCGAATCAACAGGTACCTGCCCCGCCCCATTTATCATTTAATTTTTTAAAAAGAATGATTTATACCAATTTAATTTTATATTTTACACATTCATTTAAGATTTAATAAATTTTTTTTCTAAAAAAAGGTTTCCCACCAAGAAACAAGCATGTGAAGAAAACATAAGATAAAGGAAAAAAATTAAAAGAATTCAAAATTAATAAAAGTTTGAAATAAGTAGCACAATTTTTAATATATATGTTCCACATTAATTACTTTTTTCTATAAAATACAAGATCATGGCCTCTACAAATGAATCTTGTAAATAAACTATAGTCTCTCATATTTGTAATGCAATTTGTTCAATAAAATTACTTATTTAGTTCTAACTTATTATTTTATAGTGTGTGTATAAAATATATATATATGCGGGACGGATCGGGTACTTGCGGGTTTTTAATTATGTGACTCTAACCCGTCCTGTATTTTAGCGGGTACTCGACCCTCTCTTGACCCGATCAAATAATAAAAATCGGATATCCTAATTTTTGGATCGAAACGGATCGAATATAACGGGTTTTCGGGTTAGTGGATAATTTTGCCCACCCCTACTAAAGAGGGCCCAAGAAGCCTCAAGCACAACCACCAAACCTATCAAACTTTCCCCCAAATCAGAATCTCTAAGTTCATCAATTCTTCACAAACCTCTGAACGGGCAGGACAGCAGCCCAAAACCATAGAAAACTTCACAATTAGCCCAAACTGATTCCAGCCAATTCCCATTCCTAATCTAAACAAGCCTCGATCCTTTTTAACTGCCTTCAATCTCTCGGGATATATTTACTAGGATTGTGAATTAACATGGTTTTAAACTTTCTCCATCCCAAATCATATTTGTCAACACTCTTATGTTTTATTTTAAAGGACAAACAATTTTTTTTTTATTTTAAAAAGACAAACAAATATGATTTTCCCACTTGGTTTGTTACCTGATGAAATTTTCACGGACGAAACTTAATAATTCTTCCTCTTGATGTAGAGTAGGGACTTCATATTTTTAAGCGAAAGTTTAACCCTCCCAAATGATTATTCTCAATCTTTTCAAAGTAGAAGTTCAAGTTCATCAAACAAACCCAATTCTTACCACCGTTACTAGTAAAACAAGGCTGTACCATTTGATAGCCTACCGCTGAAGTGAATAGGCTCAGTGAAAAACTGAGTAAACTAGCTATGCATATACTTTAATGAGGAACACCAAGCTCCTTAGTGGCTCGGTCCACTTTTGTAAAGTCTAAATTTGAGCCCTTACTCAAATAATGTTCTGTTCTCATTATTATTATGAATAAAATCTCTATTGTTTCTGGATAAAAAAAATGCTGGTTTATATGACTTTGGAATTAAGCTATTTTGTAGTCTCAATAGATGTAACTTATACGATTAAAGCGGGTTGAGAAGGACCGAAATTGATCAAGGTTGGCTCCCCAATCAACAAGTTTGAGTTTTTTAAAATTTAAGCACATGAATGGGTTTTGTATTCTTCATTGCTTTTTTCCTTCTTCCTCGTGAATGGTCTGAAGAAGACTGACTAAGAGTCTTCCAACATTCGTTTATAGTATTCCTGTGTTTTGATTAGATATAAAGGAATAAAATTACAATTTGGAGGTAGTATTGTGTTGGTTAAGGAATTGGAATTATTATACCAAAAATCAGGTTTAGTTTGTGTAATTGTCATTGCAGCAAAGGTTTTGATGCATTGATTAGATAGGGGTTTAGACAAAAAAATAGTTGAGCCATGGCTATTTGTTTAGATGGTTAGGTTACAATAGTTTTTTGTTTGGACGTTTGGGTCGTTCCTGGGTCGATGATATGGGTCGATGTTCCCCATGTAAGATAACCCGCCGTTTCAGCCCATTGTTTAATCTCAGTTTCTTCTGCTACATCAAACCAAAAATCTAAACAAATTAAAAACTATTGTAACTCAATCATCCATACAAACAGCCATAACTCAATCATTTCCTTCGTCTAAATTCCTACCTAGCCATTACATCAAAATCTCAGCTTACTTGACGGTTACACAAATTGAACTTGACATAATAATTCCCATTCATTAGCCAACACAATACTACCTCCAAACTTCAATTTTATTTCTTTCTCTATAATCAGAATATAGGAATACTACAAAAGAGTGTTGGAAGACTCAATCAGTTTCCTTTAGACCATTCACAAGGAAGAAAGAAAAAATAATGAAAAGTAGTATATTACCTATTCACATGCTCAAATTTTGAAAATCATTAAACCTACTGACCGGAGAACCAACTTTAAGCAGTTTCGCTCCTTCTCAACCTTTTTTAATCTTGCAGATTACATCTATTGGGACTACATATAGCCTTGTTCCAAATGTTTTCATTCCAGAACTACATGAACTAACATTTATTCTTATTCTATTTCAAAAAAACAAACAAATATGATTTTTCAACCTAGTTCGTTACCTGGTGGAATACAATGGACTAAACCTTAAAATCCTCCCTCTCTAGATGTAAAAAAAGAATTTCAATTTTTTAACCAAATATTTAGTTCGTCAAACAATTATATACCAATCTCTTTACACTACTTCTCAATCTTTTCCATAGCTTGGGTCTTCCAGTGAAAATTTGAGTTTGTCAAATAACTTTTACCATCACTACTGGTCAAACTGGGCTACACACAGCGGTGGTTGACGTTTACAACATACTATATCCAACCACAACATTCAGGCATGGCTCCAGAGGAACCCAAGAGCCATCAAGCCAGTAGACTAGAAAGTCACACAATTCTTGCAGCGAAAAACTCTAGCAGCTGTGAAATTGGTATCAGTCACTAACGAAGACGAATATGTCAAACAATTAAAACAAAGTTTACAACAATTGGACCAATCAAAATCAAGAGGCTAGCCAAAATCATCAAGGAACAAACAAACGGAAGAATCCTCAATACTTTGAAAATAGTTTTGACGTATGGACTACAATATAACGACAATGACTGTTACGGAATTTATTCACAAAATTCCATAAAATAAATATAAAATTATATTATGTAATAGAAATAATGAAAAATACTGTCGAAATCTGATAGTTACCGTACAAACATAGCAGACAAAAATACAGTGTACACCGTAGCAAAACACAGTGCACTGTGCACTATAGCGAATACTATAACAAAATGAAAAATTTTACTATAAATACCTCTCAAACTCATCATTCCGAACACATCAATTCTTTAGCTAAATCACTCTCTAAAACTGAAGAATTCTCTCCTATCTCTCTAAAATTTTGTAATCAAGAAACTTCAAAATTGGATTCAACCTGCAAACTTAGTAAGATTTCAATAAACTCCTTTTTTCTTATTCTGTCTATGGTTGGCTGAGTTCCCTTTTACATTTTTGTATTTACTTTTTAGTTATATTACTTACTTGTTGATATGGCTGCTTCAACCATCTAAATCTCTTTTCCAATAAGCAATCTGTCTGTGACCCTCTTCCATTTATCTCTTATCTCTGTGTGTGCGTCTATATATATATATATATATATATCTTCAATGTAGCAAGACAGCAGCCATAACATATTTATAGTAGGAGGAGGAGGGGTATTAAACCTCCAAACACGAGGAAACACAACAAACGACTTAAACTTACCTTAGGAAATTAACTAACTGTCTCATTAGCACACAACCGGGTTGACATAAATAAACTAGAAACTGGACGTACTGCCAAAACACTTTTGGCAAGGGTTTATGATACCATGCATACTACATCAATTTAAACTTTGCAATGAACTCATCTCTAGAACTTTGATATGTAAGCAAAATTGTTCGAAAATCTTAGTTTAGTTTTCCAACAATTAGACTTGCTTTCTTTGCAAATATTGAAGCTTAAGCACAGAAATATAAAGGTGCAAGCAAATACTTACTTGTTGAGTGAAAAATCGAGGTGCCACGATGAGTTTTTGAGCAGCCTTGTTCAAGGAACTGAGGCAAACGGGAGCATAGATGTTGTAAATGTCTATGCCTGAATAAGCTTCTAAAAAACCTCTAATATGCATAGTACATTGACTGGTCGAAATATTGCTTTTGAAATCACAATCTTTGTATATGTTCCGGTGGAGTTGGTCGGAGATAATTGCATGAGTCCAAGCATAATCGATTAAACCTGGTTGATCAGTTGGGTCATTGATTACTGCATTTCCCATCTGTTCGTCATCAACGAAAGTCACATTATTTTATTTTATCAAAGTCTATTTAGGGTAATTCAGTTGAAAGTTAAGAAAATGCTTAGAGAAAAAGTTAGAAAATCATGTAACTATTGCCATTGGCGGAGGTTGAGGAATAGGGGTGTTAATGGGGCAGCCACCTATGTTTGCATAATAAACAAGATTGTATATATAGATGCAAACATTGTATGCTCCACGAAGTTTATTAAATTATTGCACTATTCTCCCCAAATTGTTTAGTAACATTTTTTAACAATTTGATGTAACCAATGTAGTACATATCTAATTGATTAATTTAAGTAGAAATATGACATTAATGTTGGACAAAAAGATTATAATGTCGCCAACTAATATGGAAATGAAGAGAGTACATTTTGTGTACCAGTATTCCCTTCAGATTAATTGAATATCCTTTCTTAGCTCCTTTATTCTTTTCATGAATAAGATTGGCAAGCTGAGGAACATAGTGACCTGTGACACGTAGAGGATATATATTAGTTATGGAGCATTGAAACAAAACAAAAACTTCAAGTACAAAATCCATTTACAATTTTTCCTACTACAGGACATCAAATTGTTTCCGATTGGCATTGAGACTAAATTGGCTTAAAATGAAGCAAAAACTTCAAATGCAAGTCTCCATTTTAAATATCTACCTTTTAGGGAAAACAATATTCCCTCGCTGGCCGTTAAACTAAATTGACTTAAATGTAAAGCATGCCAAGTAAAATGCATTGGCACCAAACTATTAGTATTCAGTTCCAAAGACCGTTCATATTAAGCCTTTGTATCAATCAAAACAAAAACTTCAAGTACAAAATCCATTTACAATTTTTCCTACTACAGGACATCAAATTATTTCCGATTGGCATTGAGACTAAATTGGCTTAAAATGAAGCAAAAACTTCAAATGCAAGTCTCCATATTAAATATCTACCTTTTAGAGGAAAACAATTATCCCTCGCTGGCCATTAAACTAAATTGACTTAAATGTAAAGCATGCCAAGTAAAGTGCATTGGCATCAAACTATCAGTATTCAGTTCCAAAGACCGTTCATATTAAGCCTTTGTATCAATCACGAAGAAGCAACAATGGAAAAAAGAAGCAGCAGAGGGAGCAAGGAGCTATATATGATCAATTGGCAGAGTCCATAGGCTGATTGGATTAAACTGAATGTAGACGAAGTCTTGGCCAAAAATTGAAGAGTAGCAGTCTGTAGTAGGAGTAATTAGAGATGTCTTAGGAGTTTGAAGGGGCTGACTGGAGGGGAGTATTAAGGGACCTAGGTCGTTTGCGGTTGCAGTACAATTGCAGAATAGGGTTAAAACTTTCAATAGCCGAGGTCAGCCCGGCCGATCTCGACCATTGAAAGTTCTCTGTCTGCGGTTGCCAGATCCGGATCCAGCATTAAGTGATGTCGGCCATTGAAAGTTCTCTGAGTCTCTGGTTGCCAGATCCGGATACAGCAATAAGTTGGGCACTGCCAAGAACCATTGTGGCAGAATTCTGGGCCACGATATGTGAATTAAAATTAGTGTTAACGATGGGGTTTAGAAAAGTAGCAGTTAAGTCTGACACAAAGGAATCGACTTAGTTGAAAAGACCAGGGTAGAAAGCCCCCATTTCAACTTGAATACGATTGTAAGAAGCTGGATAGCTCGGAACTGGGAATGCAAATTTTGTGCACTGCATGAGAGAGGGGAACATAGTAGCTGACCACTTGGCCAAAGAGAGACTTGTAAGTTACTCAGAGCCTCCGTGGTCCCTTCAATCAATTTTAAGTGCTCATTTAGTGGGATGGACCTCACACGTTCCATTTCGTACAATTTGGGGATAAATTAGCAATTCATCTCCAAATTACACCAATTGTATATGATTTAGACCAGATAATAGCCAACTAATTCTACTAGAGTTACGCGTGAATATAACCTGTTTACACCCAAATCCAATTTATCTTTACACTCTTTTGGACGCCTAAAATGATTTACACCAAAATTTCACTCATTTACACCAGGAACAAATTTATGCAAAATTGTGCGAGATACAACTTGTGAGGCTCCTAATCATGCCACTTATCTGTTAATTTCCTTATAAATGGCCTTCCAAAGTACCAAAAAAGAAATCTCAACTCGATAATAGGCAAATGGGTTTATTTTTCCCTTTATAAGCCAAACTATTACCATGCTACAAATGTTGTCTATATTGCTTCTTTTGTGGTTCAACAAGGCAAACATTATTTACATTTTTCATATGCAAATTTATATTTCAATTTAGTTCTGGGTCTAATTATATCAAAATGGTCAGAGCAAAAGGTTAAAGTGTATCATATAAACAAAAGCGAAATGATAAATAAGAGTGCAATGTTGAATATTAGTCCTAACTATTCTTTAACTGTCTAAATTAGTTTGCGTAAGATCATACCAGCATAGCTCTCTCCGGCAATGTAGAAATCGTGAAGCCTAAAGTTGGGGAATCTTTTGAACCATCCGATCAGAAATGCATGAGAATCTTCAGCTGTAATTGAGTCACCGAGCTTCTCTGTGTCCCCTGACTTGTTTGAATATGAAAAGCCCACCCCCACAGGTGCTTCCAGAAAGAGAATATTTGCAACTGCACGATTGAATGTAACAGATAACATCAGCAGAGAGTGAATACACAACGAAGTTAAATGCACTATCTCATATTCGTTTGGTTACTTCTCATTACTTTAAATCACAAATTGAAAGGTAAACGTCCAAAACCTAATTGAAATCCAAATTTAATTTGCACACACAAACATAAACTATAATCTTTGCATAGGCTTTTTTTTTTTTTGGCAAAATTGGGTTTTTTTTTATTGTGCTTTTCAACTACCATTTTATCTCATATATATCACATTCCAAAAATGCTATAGTATTAATTTTGTATTCGTACTCTTGAGAAACAAAAATTGCACTGAGTTTCTGAATCTTATTCATCAGGTCAACTAGATTTCTACTTATTTAATAACCAAAGAAGCTACGCATCGTATCACCAGTACACGCCAAACATAAGGAATAGTTAATGATACAGAATAATTTAAAAATTTTTGAGTTATTCTACATGGTAGGCACAAGATAAAAAGTGAAAACGCCACTTTTCCGCTAAAGTACTTTTGTTTTTTTTCTTTGATGAAATTTAACACAATTCAAAAGTGCAAGGGGTAATTTTACAGTTCCACCATTTATTTTGTGTGCTTTATCCTAGGGACACAGATTTAAGGGGAAAAAATTATTTACCTTGGCTTGACTATTTTTTGGCTTCTTTGGTTTTAATCCACGAAGGAATTTTGTAATTTTAATTTGAACCTAGGTGATTTATGTAATTGTGTACGGAAATCAAGGTATAAATCATGCAATAAAAATCACATTAGAGAAGAAGAAAAATTTTGAGACACCGAACAAGATATACGCTAATGAATTAATCTTGATTAGCTTTTTTTTATAATATTTGTAATAATAAAACATTTGAGTTACAAAGTCAATATTAAGAAATTTGAAATATTTGGAGTGAAACCTGCATGCTGCTTGACTTTTTTTATCAACATATTACTCAATTTTTCTTTTTATTTTTGTACAAGCTATTGATTTTTTTTTTATTTGGGGTCGAAAACGACAGGAACAACAACCGGACAAGTGGAATAATAACCACCGAACAATGGGAAAACTAACAATAGGCACACTACAATTCCCAGCTAGGAGATTCAGAATGTAGACATCCTATTTCTCATGTATCAACCTTGGTATTTTTACAACTAGATCAATGCCTATTGTTAGTATCAATCGATTTTTGAAAAAAAAAAAATTCTAGCAGAGGAGGGATGGAATTTGCTGAATGGGAAGGGAGGAAAGGAAGACTTGAACCCAAATTTTCTAAATATTAAAACCTCAACCTTATCAACTAATTCAATATTTAAAAATTGCACTCACTGTAATTAGACATGTCGATAGATCGAATCTTTTTTAAATCCAATGTACTTGGGTAGGGCTGGCTTTAATTTCTTAAGCCCAAACTTAATCAGACTTAGATTCTATTAGAGAGTCATAGGTTTAGATAGAGTTTAAATTCCTAAGATATAAATATATATATATATATCAGTAAATTTATAAACTAATATAATATTATATGGCCACTGGATTATGGATACAATAAGAATTCATAACTGTTAGGTTATAGGATATGCTCTTAAACTAAGAAAACACCACCTACATAGAATTAGTTGATAATAGTTTTTTCTTTAAGTTTATAATATTGCATTCAACTTCTTAAATGTTAATTTTATTATTTGAAAAAAAAAATTGGATGGCATTTATGTTATTTTTAACCTCTACATATTTTTAAAATATTTTAATTTTAGTTCTTCAATGTATGTTTAGAAAAATAGCTATGGATACCTATTAGATACCCAAACCCACAAGGGTCAAAATTGCGGTTTACTTTTTCAAAACCATAAAGGTCCAAGTCCAGATCCAAATTTAGGTTTGATTAAATTTGACGGGTTTGAATTTGGATCAGAGAGATCCAACTCAAACTCTACCAATAAACATGTCTAACTGTAATTTTAAGAAATTACACGTAAAACCTATAAATTAATACCCTTGGGACCATACAAATTCTATTAATTTAAAGAGGTATTAGGTAATTGATAAATTATTAATTTATTAAGTGTAGTTATAATTCTATCTAAGGAATATAAGCCAATGCATATCTACTTGATGCGTAAGTATAATTTACTTTATTAATATCTTCAATTATGAAATAATTGACATCATTTTTCTATAATCAAGATGTCAAAATGATTTAGGAGTTCTAAATGATAGATACCAAAAAGATAGATATCCACATGCATGTGTGATGCTTTCTACTATACTCATTCTTTACACATTTGTGATTAGTCATGGTTGATTTTGACATGATTCAATTAGATTTAAGTTTTAAAAAAAATAGACTCATATTTTAGAAAAACATAATATGTAATTTTAGTGAATTATTAATTTATGATATAAATGGAACTAAAGGACTATATAAGGTTTCCAAAAAAATTATTATTTTATTATTTTATCGAAATTATTAATTTAACTCGTTAGCCCAAGTTGGGACTAAAAAATTATTATTTAATAGAGGTTATTAATTTATCAATTATTATTTTATGGGGGTTTTATTGCATAGAGAACCACATTAAGCGTTTCAAATGAGGGCAAAAAAATAAAATCGTTATGATCTACTATATAAAGCTACCATTCGGCTCATGAGAGTAAGAATGAAATGAAAAATGAGATAAATCCCAGGAATTTGTTACCCTTATTCCAAGAGTATTTGTTGTAAATAAGCTGTCCGTTGTTCCGGACAAGAAAGGGACCAAGTTCTTGCATAGCACCATAAGCAACAGAAGAGCATCCTGGTCCTGAGGAACATAATATAGTGGCAAACAACATAAGTAATTAATATGCAAACTAAAGTATCAAATATTGGCAAACAGATTAATAAATTGTTTGGGATCCAATAGGTTTTTTTAATTCTTTATTATGTACTAATATATATATATATATATATATATATATATATATATATAATTTAGGCAAACTACAGTAAACCACCCAGTAACCATGAGTTATCTTTGCCATTTTTATTGTTCTACTTTATGCCCAATATGTTATCCTATTTCTAATTGCAAACATATAAAAAAGCCATCCGCCACATGTTTAAATTCGACAAATTTCCCCTCATTTTGATATAGTGTCTCCATAATTTTATTACCCTAGTAAATCAATGCAATAAAGATAATTGTACCCAATATAATATTGAAAGACAAAATTTATATATATAAATATATATATATTTTGTATCGTTTCGGTTGCATTCTCCGTCTTCCTTGTCGATTTCTTGTCTTCTTACTTTTTCGTTTTACTTTACCTTCTCCTTTCTCTTCTCTTTTTTCCTCCCCTCATTCGCTTTGTGTCCTGTAAACGGCGGCGGAGCTAGGAATTACAATTAAGGGGAGCGAGTCTTTGTTATTTGGACCAAGTCCAAATAACTTTCAAATATTATTGTTTGGGTCCTTGAGAGGGGGACAAAGTGAAATTTTTTATCAATATTTTGGAGGGGGGGCAAAACAATATAATAAAATTTTTTTTACTTAGAAATTTTTTTTATAACAATTGGAGGGGGGGCAAAGTGAAATTTTATATCAATATTTGGGGGGGCAAAACAATATAATAAAAATTTTTTTACTTAGAATTTTTTTTTTTAACAATTGGAGGGGGCGGTTGCCCCCCCTGCCCCCCCACCCTCCGCCCCTGCCTGTCAAGGACCATTAGTTGGGCCCGGGGGTTCAATAAGTTGTCCCCTAGTGAAACACTTTGCAGTCAAAACAAAAGTAGCGAAAAACAAAAGCACAAAGAAAATGGGGAAGTGTCCAAGTCTTAGGCCCCATTACATTGCAAAAAAGGGCACATTCCAGCTAATGTGGGGTTGACAATGATCATTCCTACTACTTTTCAACACCACTAACACACTGAATTGAATTATTTTATTTCAAAGATTTACTATAATTTCATGTTATAATTTACTCAAGTCATAACTACTGGTGCTAGCCCAATGGTCAGGGAGGGATTTAAGGGCCTTTTCCACTATCAGATTTAGAGATATGCTCGAGGTAGGGATGGAAGGATATTAAAATGAAAAAGGAAAGACATTACTCATGTCATACAACGATAGTTTATGGAGCAAAATTCTTATCCGCAGTAGTTACAAGGATGCCAATTGCAAATAATACTTTCTCAAATTTGTAAAGGATATTCTTTCTTCCTTTGCCAACACATTCATATTATATATATATATATATATATATATCATTCATTGGATTAAAAAAGAGGAAGATGAGAAGGAAAGCTAAAAGCCATGCCGGACACAAACAAATTCTAAATCTGTGCACTCTTCAGCAGCTTTTTGTGCCTATGCCCATGATGCCTATGACAACCATTTGATCAATTCCAAGAAGTACACATGCTGCTGGATTTTTAATATTTTTTCCTATGACGCATTAGTTGTTTGATTTGGTTCATTTCCCCGTGAAGAAGATTGATCTTTATGAGTTAAAAAACATATATGCATGAAGTATAAAAGTATATCGTGATGGCATTTAAGGATGATTTGGTTCAAAGAATTTTGATGGCATCAGAATACGTCGGATTACTACTTTTATGTTTTTTCTTACATGGAAATTTTTTTGATATACAATTATTGATCCCAACTAAGAGTCAACGACTTTAAATCTTAGTAGGATGGAAGGTTAAGGATTCAAATCTTATCTCCCATTAATAAGCCATTATATGTGATTTCTTTTAAATCCATATGAATGCAGAGTGCACTCGTCTGATTCGATTCGATGATAGTTCAATCCCTATCGATTTCTCTAGACCCCGTTGGGTCTCTCTCTCCCCTAGAATAGGCTAAAGTAGGAGTAGGTTTGATTACCTGTTGCCATCTAATAAAAAAAAAAACTAAGAGTCAAGGACTTTGAACATGTGAATAGTTTAGTTATGAAATTGATTTATGAAAGGGGCTATTTTTCTTTATTGAGATATTAATACCCTTAATCTCACTTAGGCTCAATTCATCATTAAGTGCTATAATATACTAAACCTTTTCTCTCATATTAAAGACAGAAAAGAAAAGAAATGTTGCTGCAGACTTTTGTTCATCTTCAGCCCATCCAAATCTTTGATGCTGGAGATAAGATTAAATTTTGCCGAATTTCAGAATAAGTTATTGAAGTTCTGATCGCTAGAGGAATAACAAAGAAAATCAACCTTTTATTCATGCCCTACTCTTGGACCTTTAAATCAAGGAAATAGTTAAAAATAAGCAAGAAATTAATTTAAATGGTATGGAGAACCAAGATATGTGTTTTGCAACCAAGAGTATAAAACTATTGGGGTCAAGTTTTCTTGCCACATCAGATGTTTAGTAATTAGAAAAGTATAAATTGAATTTATGATATTATGGCTAATAGCGTCTACTTAATAATAATGCATGAATTTAAAATGAAGGGTGTATACTTAGACCCTCCATTTTAACTCATTTAACTCTCAAGTGGACAGAGCCACACACATCAATGTTGTGATTACTTGTTAGATTATCATATACACTCTCCCCAAAAAGAAAAGGAAAAATTCCAAAAGTAGTAGAGAAAATGGCACATATGACAAGCCATTTTTCCTAGGTGAAAGCAGTAGAATTCTACCAAACAGGATTTTTTTGTCAGTAACAAGATAACAAAATATTAGACAGACATTAAAAAAAGGGTAAAAAGAAGAACTATTAGAAATTCAGAACTTTTGACATTGTACTTTGTAGATAAGAAAAGAAGAGTAACAGAATTATGTCATAAAGCTCCATATAAAATAACAAAAATTGCTGGTCACTTGTTTTAATTGACAAACCCCGTTCACGAGTGGCAAACACCGGTCACGAGAGGAATGTTAGCCCAAATCTCGTTTAAAAAAAAAAAAAAAAAGAACGGAGGAAAACATAAGCCTTGCCTCCAAAAGTGCAAGATTTGCTTGGCTTTTTACATTTCCTGAAAGTCTCGAACTCCACCATAAAGGAACAAAAGTTTGTAAAAGCAACTAGTATATTTTACAAAAAGAGAGGTTGTAAAGATAAACAGTATTAGCCCAAAAGGTTTAAAAAGTTTTCAAGTGCTAATGCTTCTCTTCTTCTTTATTGACTCTAACCACATACATACAAGATACTACACCCAACCCCCACCACCCTCCTCAGTCTTCTTCACCAACCACAACCCTCCTCCCCCATCTTCCCTCCGCTTTCTGACCGCCACTATCACTACCCAAAAAGATGCAAGAAAAGCACACAAGACGAAAGAGCATACAAGAATGTCTAGAAAAGAACAAGGAAAGTTGACAAAATACTAACCTCCATTTAGCCAAAGAACTAGAGGCCTATGAGAAACATCATTTTGCGCTTCAAAAAACCAGTAAAAAAGTGCCTTCTCATCGTTTGGCCGGAGTTTGATGTAACCAGCAAAGTGCTGGAAACCAAACTGCTCAAGTGGTTGCCCTGGCAAGTATACAACTTTGTCAGCTTCTCTTTCTCTCTGGGACTTATCTGCTCCCACAGTCTCCGGTAACACATATACCAATGCCACGCAGCTAAACAACAAAGTGTACCAAAAAACAGCCATTGAACGAAGTTCAAGAGAAGCCGAGCCGATGGGTAAATTTTATTTACTATCTCCTAAAGCTACTTGAGAAGCAGGAAGCTGGAAGTGAGTGTCCATGAACAGAGTGCTTTCTGGCTTTTTATGGTCCTGAGAGGCGTTGGGGGAACCAGTTCACGTGGGAAGTGTAACTTTTTCTATATATCATAGGTGATGTGTTACACATTTTCCCCAATATTAGCATACAAATCGTATAAACTCGAAAATAATTCTTTTCAACGTTCTACTTATGTTATGCTAGAGGATATTAATATTCTTGAGTAAATTTATTTGCGCCCAATTGAAATTGGACTAACTCCATTTTGTACTCCTAAACTTGTACCACTTTTCTAAATTTTAGACTTTTTGCACCATGAACTTTTAATATTGTCACGTTTAAGTCCAATCAAAGGCAACATTAGCAAAATTAATGGCATGAGAACCCTATAAATCAATGATAATTTTCTGAAAATTGTCAAAAGAAGTTAAGGAATTGCAACTAGAACATAACAATATATTATCATTAATTTGCACCGTTTTTATTTCATTAATTTTACCAATATTATTAGTGATTAGGACCATACAAATTAATGACAATGTGTTCAAAGTTGTCAAAAGTAGCCAAGGGATCATAGTTAGAATTAATAAAACAATTCATTGTCATCAATTTACATTGTACTTTATCTAGTTAATTTTGTTAACATTATCATTAAATGGATTTAAATACGGGAAAATTTGAAAATTTGGGATGTAAAGTATCCAAAATTGAGAGTTTTTGGCGCAAAAAAAAAAAAAAACATGCGTAGAGGAAGCAATTTTAACACATAAAAATATGTGGGAGGAGAAGGAGACTAAACACACAAACAAATACTTCATAATTTTATTATCTCAAAATTCAATAATAACAATATTAAGTCATAATCTTTTGCTTACAAAAACTCATAAATCTCAATTTAGAGGTTTTTCCTCAAACTCACTCTTCAAAACTCAACTCAATTTTCAAGTAACAACGTGCTAAACTAGTTGAAATTATCGATTGCTAAGCTTCCTAAATAAATACAATTACAAACCAAAACTTCCTTGGAAAACTGATTTCAAATTTCCCAAACTAATATGGAAAATAAATAGGACACCAAAATAAGAAACTAAAATAATTAGGAAATAAAATAGCTTAGGTTAATTTATATCATTGCTTCCTTTACACTAAACTCTTCATTATAGTCATCTCCAATGTCATCTCGAGTTTGAATTTTCATGAAAAATTCAGTTGCAGTGAACGTAATATTCAACCCTAACTTATGAGTGGTCTTCAACTTCATTTTCATACGTGGCAATGGACAAAAGTTGTACTTCTTGAACAATTTCTTTACTTGATCACTTTTATCAAAAATTCAAACAAGTTCGCCCATGCTTATTGAATAACCCATTATTTAATTAATCCACATCATAAAAAAAAATTTTCCTCCAAAATTACAAAATTATACTTTCCACCATCAAAAGTTTCAACTTCATCATGAACTTCTTTTGATTCGTCCATACCAACAATCACATTGGTTTTAGCAATGACATAATTTTTGACAAATTTGTCCATTCCATAATTAATCTCGACTACCTCTAATGTTTGTTTTCTCGTTTCAAATAAATTATCAATTTCAATAAATTCAATTTTTTTGACCATGCTGTGATCTTTAATCAATTTCAATTTCACTTGAAAATTCGTTTTTTTTCTCAACCACTCGCGAAATTTCATTTTGAATCATAAATTTTTCATCTTCATATGCGCCCAAAATTTCTACAATTTCTTCTTTCTTTGCCTCATCAAAAAAATTCTTTTTCTTTTTCCATGTCGCCAATTTCTTGTATACCATGACCACAATTAGAATCATTGGAATTGTTCAGCCCTCCCTTGCCATCTTTGCATGTAGGAATTTTTTTTACTACATGCAACTGGACTTTTGTATTGAGACAATGGAATGCCTAGCAATCAATTGTCTATTCCTCTCTATCTGTTTAATTGCACTTCTAGATAATTCCATGCCTTTTGCAGGTTTTGTGAACCTCCATTGGAGAATATCCAAAACCCTAATAGCTGGAAAGAAAATGTCTTTATCATCCAACTCCAAGTCTCAAATTCATTTCTATCATCAATGATAAAAACTGCACAATGTTGTAGATAATATGGATCCATGTTTCAGATTTTAATCTCTACTTTATTAGGACCAATGTTGTGTCCTAATTTGCAAGAACAAATCTTCCAACTCCGTACCCTAATTTTGTGAACAAGCCCTAAGATCGAAACCTAGAGGTCTGATACCACTTGTTGGCACGAAAGAAAAACACGCAGAACATAAGCAATTTTAACACATATGAAAATATGTGGAAAGAGCAAAAGAATAAATACACGAACAAATACTCAACAATTTCATTAAATAAAACTCAACAATAAGAATATTAAGTAACAACTCATAGCTCTCAATTTGGAGGCTCTCTCTCAATCCATTCTTCAATACTTAACTCAAGTCTTCAAGTAACAGTATTAGACAAGTAGTATTTATAGACTACCAAGTTTCCTAAACAAATACAATTAGGAAATAAAACTGCTTAGTTTAAATTCCTAAACAAATACAATGATAATAGTTTAAGGTGCAAAGTGTCCAAAATTAAAGTTTAGGATGCAAAGTGAAAAAGTGATACAAGTTTGAAGATGCAAAGTAGAATTAGTCCTTTCAAATTACATTTGAAATTGAAACATTTGTCTGTGTTTCCTTGTGTCTCTATATATATTTGTTTTATTGCCAATAGCCAGTTCAACTAGTAGGGACATTAACTAGTTATTCTGAGATTCGTGGTTCAAATCTTAATCTCTTCTCTTTCCCTTTTCAGTTCTTCCCCATGTAAGGCATACACCACTGAACCAAAAATAAAAAGAATTAAATATTCAACATTTCCGGCTTTAATATGATGCCAATCATTAGGGTGTCCTTCACAAATTTTGACGTTAATATTATTTAACAAATATTTCATCAAACTAGTCTTTTTGCAGTTGAGAAAGTATTGATCTAGTAGTTAACATCATCACCTTAGGAATTGTAGGTTCTAGTTTTAATTCCCTCTTCCTTCTACTAGCTTCTTAAATCTCATCGTTCCTTTACTTAAAAAAAAATGACCTTTTCTTTGAACTTCAAACAATTTTGTTTTGGCAAAAAATGTATTCTTAATCCTCAAGTTTGGAGATTAGACTAAATTGGTCCTGATTATTTTGGTCAAAATAAATATATTCTCTAAAGTATTCAATTTCGATCAAATTAGTCCCTAATGTTTCAATTTAAAAAACAAAGTCCCTAAAGTATATTGATTGACCAAATTGGTACCCAATGCTTGTAAGATCAAAGAACATTTACCAATCTAATATTAAAATACATAACAATTCTATGAAAGATATACAAAAATTTTGTTTATGCACTTTTGACCAAATTAAAACAATTAGTAGATATGCCAATATGTATATTGAATATAAAAGTATATAAAAGTGCATGTACAATTACAATAGTTAATTTATTTTACTAATAGAGCACATGCACAACATTTGCTTTATTCCGATATTAGGTTGGATTATTTAGATGACCTGAGTAAACAAAGTTTTGATTTCATTCTATATTTTTCCTTCAATTTAGTAGAATTTTCATAGAGCATGCAATAGTCTATATAAGAAACTTACCTCAAAATTCGCTAGGAGTGTGCAGATCGTGAAAAGTTTATAATCAATGTAGATTTCGAAATCATCTTCGGTTGGGGCCTTCCCGGGAAGCTCCAAAGATCCAGAGCTTCTAGATGGTGGGTTGGGCCAGTTTAAATTATCCAAAGTACCGGAAAAAAGGCCGAATGCCTTGCAAGGTGCAAATAGAGCAATGGAATGCACGGAATGAAAGTGATAAGGTGGCTGACAGTGAGAGCATGGATTTGCTTGACGAGAAAGATGATTTTGTACCACTGTGAAGGTTATGAATGCCTCCAAATTGAGAAGGCACCTTTTTGTTAGATACGTCTATAAACACCTAAAAAAAATTGGCTGTGGAACCTAATATAAGTTTTCACTTGAGTAGGCATGCCTAGACTGCCTAGTTCATCTTTCGTTCAATTGCACTGCAATTAATGGTAAATTGCAAAAATTTCATGTGATATTGCAGATATTTTTTTCTGCTTTGGTTGTTCATAAGTTAATAATGCTCTAGGATAAATGGAGCACTATCTTTCAAGAAAACATTACTATTAGTGTAGACAAAATTTGCATAAGTGAAAAGGAACTTTTGTAGAATTTCACTTAAATTGCAATTTTTTGAAAATCTTGTAGAAAAATATACTGTAATAATACTTTCTGGGAGTGTGATCTAATTCGAAGTGATAGATCTCGAAACTGTGATTCGAGATCTAGCTAGACCTATTTGGAATAGCACTGTTTCTCCCTTTTGTAGTGTTTTCAGGGCCTCTGTCCTAAATGCTAAATTCATAACCTTGTATTGAATCTTATAAATAATTGCTATTGGGAGAGTCCCAGGCTTGACTTTGTAGTTAGCAATTTTGATGTTTAGTGTCAAAGCGTCTAGAATATTTTTGTCTCTTAAAGAGACTATAAAGTTTGGAAAATAATTAAAATATACTGGTCCTCCAAAGAGACTGGTTTTATCCATTCTTAGGAGGGAATCATTAAATTCTAAGAATCTATTATCTCTAACGCAAAGAAGTAAGGATGTGTCTAATCCTTCTCTTGTTAATGGTTTGGCTGCAATTTGTACTAGTCCAAAATGAATATAATTATATTTTTCTTTATGTTTTTCTATTGTTCTTTTGGATAATAGTTTGATTTCTTCATAGTCAACATCTAATGCTATAGTTTGTTCTACTATTTTGATTGTATAGTCTAAGGTAGAAAATATCCATTTTCCGTGTCTTTCATAAATACCGGTTTGAGTATATTTAAGAAATTTTCAGTTGTCTATGTTTTGATTAATGTCTAATATATTGATTTTTTCTTTTAGTATGGTGTTTGAAGAAGAACTAGAAGAGCTAGAACTGGTTCTGAAAAATGAAGCCATGGAAAAAAAGTAAAAACAAGCAAAATAAGTAATTTTAATCCTCTTCCCTTTGGCACAGAATC